TGGTCTTCCAGTAGACCCAGTCCTTGGTCACCAGCAGGGCCCCCAAGAGCATGGTCTCGAAGAGCTTCATGAGAGGTACCGAGACGCGCCCGCGCAGACCGTCCACGAGCACGCCCATCCTCTCGACCTTCGTCTCCCCGAGGTGGGCCTTGTGCTCGGCCCAGGCCACGCCGTTGCGCTGGTAGGAAGCCCTCTGTTGCTCCTGGTAAGCAGAGCCGACGCCGACCTCCCCCTCGGTGTCGTTCACGATCCTGGGGGCATCGAAGTCGTCGATGAAGAACTGGTACCAAGACCTGCAACCGCCCACCTGAGCAATGGGAAGAGGCTTGTCCCTCCTCCACTCATCAACTTCAGGCAGGCCCGCTCCAGCGGGGGGAGGGCGCAGGCCCAGGCGTCTATGAAGGTGTTGGAATAACGTGACGGCCAGCAACCAGCCCATCGGTATAACGGCTGAACACACATGCACCGTCTTCAGATCAGGGCGGCCCACAAGGCGGCCGGGGACGCGGCCCTTCAATGTCGTGAAGCTGCGCCAGGCCCGCGGGATCTTCCAGACAAAGAAGGCGCCCTGCTGGTCGTCACCCGACCAGAGCAAGACGCACTGGCCCTCCAACACCACCGTAACCCAAGAGGTCGAGGCCGTCAGCGTCGACAGGTCCTGGGTCATGATCTTCAGGTAACTGTTCGCTGGCACCATGTTCATGATGAAGCGGCACTGCCTCTGCTCACCAGCCTCGGGCACGCCCCTTTTCTCAACTGCGAAGGCGCCGTTGAGCACGGGGACGCCGTCAGCCCGAAAGATCTGCTCGTCCTCTATGGCCTCCACGATACCGAGCGAGTACAAGTGGCCAACGATCCTCGCCCACTCCGCAGGCGAGTCGACCAGCAGCCTCGCCTTCGGAACCTCAGAAGGCCACTGGGCACGTGGCAGGAGGGCCACCGACGGGTCGTCCAACCAGGTGAGCACCTCAGGGCTGACGTGAGCACGAGGGTCCAGCCGGCCAGCGACATCAGCTGCTGGTAGGCCAGGTCGTAGTTCTCCCAGCCTAAGGGGCAGCGCACGCGTGCCGCTGTCGATGTCGTAAGCGCTGGACGCCCGCGTCGAGATCTCACTAAGGAGGGGCAGCTGACACCTGCCAAGGTCGCCCCCGAGGAAATACGAGACAGCCTCCCTCATAACCTCGACGGCGTTGGCCTGAGCGGCGGAGTAGTGCGAGTGGTGGCCCCACGCCTCCTCCCCGCACGTGCCCGCATACTGGTAGTTCGTAAGCATAACCTGGATGAAGACCCACAGTTCGGCAGCGACAGCGCAAGCAGAAGGCCCATCAAAATCGGGTCCAGGTTCACCCGAGGTCCCCGCCGCTGACCCCCTCGACGTACCCTTCCAGGCCCTGGCACTGTCCAATGATGGAGCAGCAAGAGGCAGCACATCACGAAACCTCTGCCCCTGCTGCTGCGGTGAATGCGCGTGGTGAAGAAAACCCCGACAGAACCTGCCCAGCCTGCCAGGGTGTGTGAACATAGCATCTATCAGCCAGAGCGCGAAGGTGAGCGGGGTCATGCTATCCTCGAGGGCCGCAGCAAGCCTGGACTTCCAGGCCCTCAGGTCGGACATGCTAGTGAGCGTCCAAGGCCAGCTCGCTCCGCCGCTGGCACACGACGAATTAGCCTCGGTGGCATGCGTCACCGCCGAGGTGCCGCCCATGGAGCGGCAGCCTTCTGCTTGGCGGCCTGGTTCTGCGAGCCCTCGCCCTCCAGGATGACCTTGCGAGCACCGCCCTGCACTGGCGGCGCCTGCCTCTTGGGGCCGTCGCCCCGCATGAGCAGCGCCAGGCGCTGCCGGTACTTGCCCTGCGTCTCGCCGTCCTTCTTGGGGTTCTGCAGCTTCAATTCCTTGAAAGTCCTGGAGGGCCTGTCCGTCGTCGGGGGGCGTGGAGGCTGGCGACTCGCGCCCGCCACCTCTGCAGTGCGAGCCGCCTCCTGAAAACCCCGACCTCCAGCTGGCCCACCAGTCGTCCCGTCGCTGGGGTGGCCTGCAGGGGTCGCTCCCATGCTGGGTGGAGCGGACCCCCGGCCGAGTCCCTAGCCGACAGGCTTGAGCTTCCCCGCGAGCTCGGCGAGCTTCAATTCGCCGTACTCGATCTTCCTCAGAAGCTCCTCCTCCTCGATATTGATGGCAGCCATGTCGGCATCGGGAGGGATGAGCTCCAGCCAGCGCGCGCTCCTCCAATGCTTATCCTTGCAGGCGAGCTGGCAGGCCTTGAACCTCTGCATGAGCATGTCCATGGCCTCTGGGAGTTTCCCTTGGATCAAGAGGTCCAGGGACTCGGACAGAGTGCGCATCTGCCTGAACATGTCCTCGCCGACTGCTGAGACAGGGTGCGAGGCTAAGAAGATGTTCAGCAGGAACTTGTTAACTATCGGAGGGAGCTCTTCCTCGGCGTCGTGCATGCCCTTTGTGCTGAGAAACTGATTGAGGTGCGACAAATGGGCCGTCAGCAGCTTCCCAGGAGTGTCGCGAGCAGTCCTCCTGAAGAACGCTCGTGAGGCAGCCAACGACTTCCCAGGCGTGAACTCCAAGCCGTCAGTGATGCCGAAGCCCTCGATGCCCTCGGCAGGAGTGAGCGCGCCCAGCAGCGAGCGAAGGAGGTGAGCGGTAGATCCGCCGCCCTCACGCTCGGGCCCAGCGCCCGCCAGGCCCCCGCTGCCAGCTGCGCCCCCGTCCGCGGTCCCACGCCTGGGAGCCTTCGCCGCCCTCTCAGCCAGGATCTCATCCAGGGACTTCCTCTTGAGCGGGGCCCCCTCGGCAGCGGCACCTCGAGGCTCGGCGGCAGCGTCGCCCTCGGCGCCCAGACGACCCTTCAAGTCGCCCAACCTCTTGCGGAGGAGCGCCTGCATCTCCTCGTCAGGGCGGCGCCCTGCAGGCTCCTTCGCAGCGGCGGCGGCGGCGGCCTCGAGCGGGGTCTCCCCGCCGGCGGTGCCGCGGGGGCGAACGCTCCCGCCAGGCAGCCCAGCGGGCTCCGACGCGGCCGCCGCAGGTGGCCGAGCCCGAGCGGGCGGCCGACCGCGCGCCTTGAAGGCGGCACGCCCAGGAGGGCCTGCGGCGGCGCCAGGCCCCTCCGCCTCACGAACGGCCTCGAGCTCACCCGCGGAGTCGACGACTTTGGCGGCGAGCCCGAACTCGTCCAGCTCGGCGGGCACCAGCTCCTCGTCCACGGGATCCCCCAGCTCCTCCTCCCGCGGCTCGGGCCCCAGCTCGGCAGGCCAGCGCGCAGCAGGATTGCGTCGCCGGAACTGGAGGTACGCGTCCTCTACCGACTCAAGGACCACGAACTCGTCGACGTGCGTCACCTCCACGCCAGGGCCCGCCTCCGCAGCACATAGGATGGCCGTCTCATCCTCTGGACAAAAATGGAGAACACGCTTTAACTTCCTGGCTCCAGGGGGTCCCGCATTCTCTTCGTACCACTGCAAATACTGATCAGTGCAGAACAGGAACTCAGCGCGAGCGAACTGGCCGTGCTCGCTCGCCTCGTACAGGCTGGAGATCCGAAACACGGCCTCGCCCTGTGCGGCGTCGGCGTCGTCGTAGCATGTGACCTGGATGAAGTCACCTGCCCGCACGGCGCGGCCCTCGCCCTCGGCAGCCGCCGTGGCGCCCTCGCCGTCCGCCATGCGGCCTGCAGAGGCGAGCTGCTCTCAGCTCGCTCGCGTGCCGACGTGCACCCTCGGTGCACAGAAAGACCTCAGAGCAAGAAAGCTGCGAGATAAGATCGGCGATTTCTGCGGGACCCCCGAGATACCCCAATGACCTGTAGTCATAAGTCTGATACATGAATATGCATGTATCCCTTTACGAATAGACATACATGCACACATGCACGTACAAATTGGCCTACACATACATACATGCATATATACATACCCAACAACATACACTCACTCACACACACACACATATACACACATACATACAAACAGCTGTGTAAACATATACACACATGCATGCAGACAGACATGCATACGGATGTAGAGATACATATGAAGATGCATATGAATGTATACACCTGCATACATGCATGCATACATACATGCATGCACACACATACATGCATGAATACATATATACATACATGCATGCATGCATACATGCATACATACATACATACATACATACATGAATGAATAAATGAATGCGTGCATGCACACATCTGTATACGCATATAAATGCATACCTGCATGCATACACGCATACACATATACATATAGACCTACGTACGTACATACATAGGTACATGTATGCATGCATGCATGCATGCATGCATGCATATACTCTCTATATATATATATGTAAAATGAAGAGCGAGAGAGAGTTTCACGCGCCGCGTAATACGCCGCCCGACCTGCCAGCGCGGCGCGCTGGCAGGTCGGGGGCGCGGACCGCCGGCGCACGCGCGCGAAACGCCGCCCGACCTGCCAGCGCGGCGCGCTGTCGCCGCCGCGCTTCTTCGCCGATATCGCCGCGTGATATGTATATATGTGTCAAATGAAGATGTCACCGCGCCGTTCGTTTCGAGGCGCACGAGTGGACGAAACTGGCACCTTGCGGCAAACCCACGGCAAGCCCGAGGCCGGCACCGCGGCAAAAACCCACGACAAGCCCACGGCGCCCGGGGCGGTGTCTGCCCCTGGTGGCCGAGGCGCCCTCTCCAAGGCGTGAGGCCGCGCGTCGGAACACACGGCGCGGCGACAATCCCAGGATTCCCCATATCTCCCCATATACGGGCCGATGTTGCATCACAGCAGCAATTCGGCCCCTGACTTTCGTCCTGGGTTCGGTTTAGTGAACTGATGAATTTCGGGGTCCTTACGTGGGAAAAAACATCACTTCACTAATCTGGGGCCCCTGGGGCCTCAGTGGGCCCTGGGGCCCAAAATTAGTGAAGTGTTGGTTTTCGGGCCTCGGACCATATGTTCTTGGTTTTGCCTGGGTGTGTTCTTTCCCCTCCCGAATATGTGCATCACGCGTGCACGCGTCCTACACACCTATCCACACACGCCAGCCCGCGGGAGGCCCGGCGCCCGCCCGCACCGCCGACCCGCGCGCGCGCCGGGCCCTTGTTCCGCGTGGGAGGCCCGGGGGCGCCCCGAGCTGGCCCCTCCGGGCGTTCGGTGGCCGCCGGAGCCCGCTGGCGCGGCCGAGCCCGGGGCCGAACGCGGCCCGGGGCGGCGGCTGCCGGTGGAGCCAGACCCCCTCGGGCCATGAAAAGATCACGACGCGAGGTTTTCGGCTATGTTCCGCCTCTGGGAGCCCCTGCCAGGCCTCGGGGCTGTCAAGAAACAACCCAGGATGAAGAGCCGGTCCCGGGGAATGGGTCGAGTCTTCTGGGGGTCGACGTCGTGAAAAGATCATGACGTCGGGGGTCTGGGGCGGGGGCGCGCCGCGAGCGGCCCTTTGGCCCGCTCGGCCGGGTGCTGTCAGAGGCGCTCCCCTGGGCCTGGCCCGGGTATATTGGCGGCGCGCACAAGGAGGCAGGGTTAGGGGGGAAGGCGCGGGTCTCGTCTATAGATGTAAAGCCAGCGCCTTTCAAAATTAGCCTGGCGAAGGACCCAACCATATGAAGTTGTGAGTCCCGCAGTTGTGGGTACCGCTTTCGGTGGAGCTCCCTGTGGAGCCACGAAACGCTGTACTGGGCGGGGGAAACACCGCCACTGCGACCTTAGGTGGAGCTCCACATGGGGCCACAAAACGCTGTGCTGGCTGTGGGAGACCCATGTGGACACCGCCACAGGGGCCTTCGGTGGAGCTCCATATGTGGCCACAAAACGCTGTGCTGGGTGGGGGAGACGCATGTGGACACCGCCACTGGGGCCTTAGGTGGAGCTCCCTATGGAGCCACGAAGCATGTGCTGGGTGGGGGAAGCGCATGTGGTCACCGCCACTGGGGCTTTGGGTGGAGCTCCCTATGGAGCCACCGAGCGCTGTGCTGGATGGGGGAGACGCATGTGGACACTGCCACTGGGACCTGAGGTGGAGCCACCCATGTGGCCACAAAGCGCTGTGCTGGGTGGGGGAGACGCATGTGGACACCGCCACTGGGGCCTTAGGTGGAGCTCCCCGTGGAACCACGAAACGCTGTGCCGGGTAGAGGGAACGCATGTGGACACCTCCAGTGGGGCCTTGGGTGGAGCACCCCATGGGGCCAAGAAGCGCTGTAGTGGGTGCGGGAGACGCGTGTGGACACCGCCACTGGGACCTTGGGTGGAGCTCCCTACTGAGCCACGGAACACTGTGCTGGGTGGGGGAGACCCATGTGGCCACCGCCGCTGGGATCTTAGGTGGAGCCCCCTGTGTGGCCACAAAACGCTGTGCTGGGTGGGGGGGACGCATGTGGACACCGCCACTGGTGCTTTAGGTGGGGCTCCCTATGGAGACACAAGGCGTTGTGCTGGGTGGGGGAGAAGCATGTGGACACCGCCACTGGGACATTAGGTTCAGCACCCTATGGGGCCACGAAACGCTGTGCTGGGTGGGGGAGACGCATGCGGACACCGCCGCTGGGACGTTAGGTGGAGTTCCCTATGTGGCCACGAAACGCTGTGCTGGGTGGGGGAGACGCATGTGGACACTGCCACTGGGGCTTGAGGTGGAGCTCCCTATGGGGCCACGAAACGCTATGCTGGGTAGGGAAACGCATGTGGACACCGCCACTGGGACCTTGGGTGGAGCTCCCTTTTGAGCCACGAAGCGCTGTGCTGGGCGAGGGGAGACGCATGTGGACACCGCCACTGGGGCCCTAGGTGGAGCTCCCTATGGGGCCACGAAGCGCAATGCTGGGTGGGGGAAACACATGTGGACACCGCCACTGGGACCTTAGGTGGACCTCCCTATGGAGCCACGAAGCGCTATGCTGGGTGGGGGAGACCCACGTGGACACCGCCACTGAGACCTTCGGTGGAGTTCCCTATGAGGCCACCGAGCGATGTGCTGGATGGGGGAGACGCATGTGGACACCGCCTCTGGGGTTAGGTGGAGCTCCCTATGGGGTTACGAAGCATGTGCTGGGTTGGGGAAACGCATGTGGACACCGCCGCGGGGACCTTAGGTGGGGCTCTATATGGAGCCACGAAACGCTGTGCTGGGTGGGGGAGACGCATGTGGACACCGCCGCTGGGGCCTCAGGTGGAGCTTCCTATGTGGCCACGAAACGCCGTACTGGGTGGGGGAGACGCATGTGGACACCGCCACTGGGACCTTAGGTGGAGCTCCCTATGTGGCCACGAAACGCTGAGGACATGCGCAGGGCAGGGAGGATGGGGAGGAGGAAGGAAGGAGGGAGGAAAGGATGGAAGGAACGCGGGGACCGTCTCTTCAAAACGAGGAACCAACACGGCAGGATGGTTCGGAAAAAACAGCCTCCTTCTAAGAGGCCTTTTCCCACCCCCCCTACCCCCCTCTGCGCGTGGCCGCACACACCTGGCAGCCAGCGCCTCGAATAGAGATCGGGGCCCGCGGTCTGCTGCCACTCCTTGGGCTCTGGAGGCGGGCTCCGGGCCCCTTCTTGACCGTCAAAACCGAGGGTTTGGGGGGGAGGGAAAGCTGGCCTGGGGGTCGGGAGGCGCGGGGGCCGCTGCGTCACAGGTAAGCCAGGGGCCTGCAACGGTATGAGCGCACGAAGAGCGACCCCCGCCCCCCGCGTGTGCAAGACGAACCTCCTCACGTGGAAGACACGCGCCGCTCTGCTGGTAGCAAACTCACGCGACGGCGCACCGCGTGCCAACTTCTTGCTGGGAATGCTGGGAGCGCTACCAGGCAGGGCTCCCAAGCCTGGGCCTCGAGGGAAGCCAGTGGTGCGGGCTCCACGCGGCTCCCAGGCCCGGGTCAGCCAGGGATGCTCGGAGGGAACCGGCTGAACCCCCTCAGCGCCGACCCGCGTCACCGCGCGTCCCCGCACCCAGACATCCTGGACGTCGTCAATCCTGCTGGTGCTCCCTCGATGTCGGCCCCTGGGGACCGCTTCTGGGACCTGGGCCCATGAAAAAGCGGATCCGCGGGACGAAAGCGAATACTCCAGATTTCGTAATAAAAGGGAGGGGGTCTGGACCCTCCAAGACAAGCCATTTCAGACCCCCCCCCGTGGGAGAACCCTCCAAAACATCGCCCCCAGACCCCCCCAGGCCCTCCAAGATAGCCTGGAAGAGACCCCCCCCGAAATGAGACCCCCCTCCCTTTATTACGAAATCTGGAGTAATCCTGGCGAGGCCCGCGGGGCGCCGCGGATTGGAGAAGCCACCGCCCAGGGCCCAGAGCCTGCCGGGAGAGTGCTCCCCGGCGCGTCGGCGCCCTCGTGGAGCCCCCCCTGCAGGAGGCCTCTGGGCCTCTCGAGAGGAGGAGGAGGAGGAGGAGGAGGAGGAGGAGGAGGAGGAGGAGGAGGAGGAATGTTCGGAAGGCCACGACACGGGCCCAGAGATCCGATGTCGTGCTTTGCTCCACGCGCGGCCCCCGGGGAGCCTCGACCCCCTCCCCAAGACGGGCTCTTCCTCCAGCCGAGTCGGTTTTTGGACCCTCCCGGGGCCCGGCGTGGGCCCCGGGAGGCCGAACCCTGGTTTTTCATTACGTTTAGGGGGCCACATGCGAACCCTACCCCTACCCCCCACGATTTCTGAGGGGAGGGGGGTTTCACTTCGTCCCGGGAGCTCCCGCGCGAAGGGAACCCCCCTCCCGACAGGGTGTTCGCCTAGGGGTAGGGTTCAGAGGGGGCGCGAGAACGTTGGATCTCTCGGGAGCCCCCGGGGAGCCTCGACCCCCTCCCCAAGACGGGCTCCTCCTCCCGGGTGGGTTTTTGGACCCTCCCTCCCTCCCTCCTCTCCCTCCCTCCCTCCCTCCCTCCTCTCCCGGGGCCCGGCGAGGCCCCGGGAGCCCCCCCCCCCCCCCCCAGGAGCTCCAAAAATCGCTTCCTGGACCCCTCTTGGATCGCTCTTGGAGCGCTCGTGGCCGCTCTTGGAGCCATCCTGAGGCTCTCTTGGGCCCCTCTTGGAGCTATCTTGAGCCATCTTGGAGCCATCTTGACGCGTCGGATGTACATCGCAAGCGAAAAAGTGAGAACACCAAAAACATTGATTTTCCCTAGGGTTTTAAAGCATGTTGGCCGAGACCTGGTTTCTCATTGCGTTGGATCTCTCGGGGGCCCCCCGGGGCCTGCAGCCCCGGCCCGCGCGGTGCCCGGGGGCCGGCGCGCCGTCCCGGGTGCTGCCTGTTGTGCAGGCTCGGGGCCCCGCGAGAGCACCACCCACACAGGGGGGGAAGCACAAAAAGGTACCAGCTCCTCCTCCTCCTCCTCCTCCTCCTCCCTCTCCCCCCTCCTCCTCCTCCTCCACCTCCTCCTTCCCTCCTCCTCCTCCTCCTCCTCCTCCTCCTCCTCCTCCTCCTCCTCCTCCCCCTCCTCCTCCTCCCCCCTCCTCCCCCCCTCCCCTCCTCCTCCTCCGCCTCCTCCTCCTCCTCCTCCTCCTCCTCCTCCTCCTCCTCCTCCTCCTCCTCCTCCTCCTCCTCCTCCTCCCCCTCCTCCTCTCGAGAGGCCCAGAGGCCTCCTGCAGGGGGGGCTCCACGAGGGCGCCGACGCGCCGGGGAGCACTCTCCCCGGGCCTCTCCCGGGGGGGGGGGGGGGAGCTCACCAGACCTCTGAGGCGAATCCAGCGGTGGCGACGAGGGCTTCCCAGGAGGCCACAAAGAGGAGAAAGCGAGGGAAGGGTAGCGGTAGTGCTCGGTGACTCCCCCCCTCGGAACCCAGAGCCCGAGAACGACAGAGATCACCCGCCCTGTCTTTGTTCAGTGCGCTGCCTGCCTGGATCCCAGGTGTTCTGGGGGGCCCCCGGCCTGGATTCGGTCGGGCATCATCCTACAGGCGACTTCTGGAGGAACAAAAACGGTCCAACGAAAATATGCCAAAATAGCCCCGAATGATCCGAAAATCGCCCCCAGAAATTCCTATGTTTTTGCCTACTCCACTTAGAAGGACGTGCCCGACCTCATCCTGGGCCAGGGGCGCCTGTGGCAGCACCCCGCTCGGCGGCGGACGCGGCCGCCCCGGGGGAGGGGGCCGCGCGGGGGCCCGACTCCTGGTGGAGCGGCCTGCCGCGGCGCTGCAGCAGGGGGAGGGGGGTCGGCGGTGGACAAACCTCCCTTTAGTAAACCTCCCCTTAGTGAAAACGACCCGGGACCGAAACCGACGGACCTGGACCCGCAAAAATGACGGCCGCGACGCCCTCTGGCGAACCGAAAACGGCCAATTCCTTAATCGACGTGTCAGGGTAGGTCTATCCACTTCCGAGGGGGGTCCTCCTCTGCCTCCCAGAGCTGCTCCCCCGCCCCGCTCCCGCCCAGAGATCCCAGAGTTGGACGCCCGAGATGGGCACGGAAAGAATGGGCACGATGCCCAACAGCAAATGTTGTCCCAAACCAACAGCGGCCGCTGTTGGGCGGGCGACCTCATGTCTCGAATGGACACAGGCCGCGGCGGCGCGGACAGCGAGCCCTGTTCAGAATGAACAGGAACTGCTGCTGGGCAATGTACCCATTCTTTCCGTACCCATTTCGGGCGTGCAGACCAGACATCCAACGCCTTGACAAAACCCAGGCGGAAGCTTCTCGCGGAGTGCGGCCTCCCGGGGCCCTCGCCGGGCCCAGGGAGGCCGTCCAAGACCGACTCGGGATGCAGACCCAGCTCTGGGGAAGGGGTCGAGACTCCCGGGGGCCGCGCAGTGAAAAAAACACGACACATCGGATCCCTGGGGCCCCGCTCCTGCCCCGGGATCCAGAGCATCGGGAAAAGCAGGGCGGAGGCTCGTTTGTGTCGCCAGCCTCTATGGAGGCCCTCGCCCGGCCCCAATGGAGGAGAATGAGGAGGAGGAGGAGGAGGAGGAGGAGGAGGAGGAGGAGGAGGAGGAGGAGGAGGAGGAGGAGGGAGGAAGGAGGGGGAGGAGGAGGAGGAGGAGGGGGAGGAGGAGGAGGAGGAGGAGGAGGCCCAGGCAAAGGTTTTCCGCTCCTCTCTTGCTCTTCCTTCTCTCTTGCTCTTCCTCCTCTATGGAGGACCCTCGATCATGATCCTGGCGAAGGACCCAGCCGTAATTATGCAGTTGCGCGTGCCGCCGGGGTGAGCACGGCCATCGGTGGAGCTCCCGACGGAGCTGCGAAGTGCGTGAAGAGAGCGCCGAGATGGGGTGCAGAATCGAAATAGAATCGAATCGGCTGCGCCAGGATGCACAACAGCACCATGCGAACATCGGGCCCGCATCGGATCCTCGGAATATCGGAATCGAATCGGATCGGGCCAGCCGGGATCGACATCGAATCGGATCGAATCGATAATCGAAGTGGACCTTGCCACAGCAACAGCAAAATGAGAACCGACCGAACCGACAGCGAAACCCAAACCGACCGAAGCCGACAAGCCGCAGGCAGCCCAGAGGGGCGGAGAGGCGCCGCAACGACAGGCCGAGCGTTTCGCCTGAGACGTCCTCACCATCTATGCTCCTGAAGCACAATAGGAAGTCGCAACAGCTTCACCAAAGCAGGGCGGGACGTTTTCAAAATGTGGCTCTCGCCTGAGCGCCGCGCACCTTCGTCGTAACAGTTTGCGATAGGTTCCCAGATGGAAGACGGGCCCTTTTCAAACTGTGGCGCCGCGAACATTCGCGTTGAAAGTTTGCGAAACCTTCATGAATAGAGGGAGGCTGGTATTCAAAATGAAGCTCTCGCCCCAGCGCCACCCGCATTCGTCTTAAAATGTGGCAACAAATTCACTGATGGAGGGCGGTTCCTTTTCAGTGGATCCAGCCTCAGCGCCGCGCACATTCGTTTTGAAAGTTGCAACAAATTCGCGGATGGAAGGCGGGTAGCTTTCAAAATGTTCTCTCCGCAGCGCCGCGCACATTCGTCTTAACATATCACGACTGATTCAAAAAGTCTTATGGTCGACATCCCAGGGATGAGATTCCGGCACGATTTAAGATTTGTCAAGGCGCAACAATCACATGTATATGCGGTGTTGAGGTCCCATAAATGGCAATCTGGCACCATTCAGGATCGTCAGGACGTAACTGTAAAGCTGGCTCGCGGATTGTAGTTCCAGGACTGGTGTTTTGGCACGCTTGAGGATTCTCAGACGGCTGTCTTCCAAAGGGGCACTTCATGCAGTGAAGATAAGTTCTTGCAGGGGCCTACAAAGAAGGAGCTTGCACGAGAAATTCGCTGCAACATCGTCGGTGCATCTTGGGTTTACTGTCGTCCTTCTCCTCCGTCTCGTCCATCCCTTTCCCTGACGAACAACTTCTCCCTGTCGGGCCCCCAGACGTGTCGGTAAAGAGGCCCGGGCGCTTCGCCTGAGACTTTATCACAGTTTGTGATCCTGCAGCTTGATACTTGTAGGAGCTTCACGGATGGAGGGCTGATCGTGTTCAGGATATGGCGCAGGCCTCAGCGCCACGCGGATTCGTCTCAGACGAGTGCAGCAACTTCACGGAGGGAGGGCGGCTCCTCCTCAAAAGGTGGCTCTCGTTTCAGCGCCGCGTGCCTTCGTCTCAATGCTCGAAACGCTCTCATGGATGGAGGGCGGGTGGCCTTCAAGACGTGACTCTCGCCCAGAGCGCCGCGCTCCTGCGCCTTACAAGATTGCGCAGCAGCTTCACGGGTGGAGGGCTTGTGCGTCGTTTTCGGCACGTGGCTCCGGTCTTGCGGGCCGCAGCCAGTCGCGTCGTGCTGCTCCGCGGCGTGGAAGTTCCAGGAACGGCGTGCTGGCTCTATGGAAGATTGTCAGACGCTTGTCTTCTGGTGGGTCACTGCCCGCAATGAAGACCAGTTCGGTAGGGGAGCCATGAAGAGGAAGCTTGGGAGAAGGGTTTACTGCGAAATCTTCGATGGTTCTTGATGTATACTGGTCCTCCTCCTCCTCCTCCTCCTCCTTCTCCTCCTCCTCCTCCTCCTCCTCCTCCTCCTCCTCCTCCGCCTCCCTTCCCCCCCCGCCGTCGTCCTGAACCCCCCAGACACGGGGGTGCGCGGGGGCAGGAGCGCAGGGAGGCGCCAGGGGCCGCACCTCAGGGGCTGACGTGCGTCTTGACGAGGGAATACGAGGAGAGGCAGCGGTACCTCGGCGCGGAGGAGGGCCTCCACCGCCCCTTCCTCCTCCTCCTCCTCCTCCTCCTCCTCCTCCTCCTCCTCCTCCTCCTCCTCCTCCTCCTCCTCCTCCTCCTCCTCCTCCGCCTCCTCCGCCTCCTCCGCCTCCTCCGCCTCCTCCGCCTCCTCCTCCTCCTCCTCATCCGCCTGCTCATCCGCCTCTTCGTCCTCCTGCTACACCTCCGTGCGTCTTGACGTGGGAATGCGCACGCCCCACAACAACAACAAATGCCTGAACATGGCAGCCCTCGAACCCTGAACGCCTCGAATAGGCGGGCCCTCCCTCAACGACGACGTCGCCCCATCTTCGAGACGCGGGCCTCCATTGGCGGCGCGCACGAGGGTGTAGGGGGAGGGGGGAAGGCCTCTCAGAAGGAGGCTGCTTCTTAGAAGGTGCCGGCATTACATCTATAAATAAGGCCCGCGCCGTCCAAGAAGCAGGGGTGCTTCTAAGAAGCCGTCCCCCCTCCCCCGACCCCCCTCTGCGCATGGTCGTCTCCAGAGATCTCGACCCCTTCCCCCAGGCCCGCTCTTCGCCTGGAGTCGTTCGTGGACGGTCCAGAGGCTGGGAGACGGCCTCGGGAAGGCGAGGTCGCTGAAAAACTGGCTGATTCACTGATCCAGTCATTCGACGTTGTGATTGCTGCACTCGGCGGCCCCAGCGGCCTCGACCACGTCCTCAGGCCCCAGGGCCAGGGGGAGTTTTCCGCCCTGGGGCAATGTTGATCCCCAGTGGGCCGAAATCGAAGGAAAACGGCCTGGGGGTCTGGGAACCTGGGGGGAAGAGGAAGATCGCTCCCACCCCTTCCACTCTCGTTCGTTGAGGGCATAAAAACTTCTGCCGCTCCTCGACTCGCGCCAGAGCGGCCGCGAAATGCTCCAAATTTCCCTGGAGACCTTGCGGATGTGCCTGGATTTACCTGGACCAACCCAAATTGACCTGGATCTACCTCCACTTATCGGCATGTACCTTCACTTGTCCGGCTTGATCCCCACGCGTCGATCGGCGAAAAGTCGTCAAGCCCTTGGGGGAGGGGGAGGGGGAGGAAGAAGATCGCTCCCACCCCTTCCACGCGGCGGGCAACGCAAGGGCGGCACTCGATGTGCGGTAGGCGATTCAGGATGTCCTCGGGGCGGCCCCGCCGCGGAGCGGCACACGGGCTCTCGCCCACCCACCCGCCCCCTGCCGCCGCCGCCGCCGCCGACGCCTCCTCCTCCTCCTCCTCCTCCTCCTCCTCCTCCTCCTCCTCCTCCTCCTCCTCCTCCTCCCTCCGCCTCCTCCTCCTCCACCTCCTCCTCCTCCCTCCCCTCCTCCTCCTCCTCCTCCTCCTCCTCCGCCACCGCCTTCATCCTCCTCCTCTTTTCACGTTAGGCGGACATTCAGGCCAGGCTTGTTGCGTTCCTCCTCCTCCCTCCTCCCCCTCCCCCCCCATCATCCTCCTCCACCTCCTCCTCATCATCATCAGCATCATCATCATCATCATCATCATCACCACCACCACCACCACCACCATCATCATCATCACCACCACCACCACCACCACCATCATCATCATCATCATCATCATCATCATCATCATCATCACCATCACCATCAGCAGCACCATCATCAGCACCATCATCAGCAGCATCGTCATCATCATGAGCAGCAGCAGAAGCAACATCATCAGCATCATCAACATCATCATCGTCATCATCATCAGCAGCATCATCATCAGCATCGGCATCATCATAATCCTCATCATCCTCATCATCGTCATCATCATCGTCATCATTATTATCATCATCAGCAGCATCGGCATCAGCATCAGCATCATCATCATCACCATCAGCGTCATAAGCAGCAGCAGCATCAACATGATCATAATACTCAGCAGCAGCATCGTCATCAGCAGCAACAGCAGCCGCAACATCATCATGATGATAATCAGCATCATCATCAGCAGCAGCATCACCATAATCATCATCATCAGCAGCATCATCAGCATCAGCAGCAGCATCATCATCAGCATCAGCATCAGCATCACCATCAGCATCATGACCACCCTCCTCATCAGCAGCATCATCAGCAGCATCAGCATCATCAGCATCATCGGCATTATCATCACCACCACCATCATCATCATCCGAAGCAGCACCGTCGTCGTCATCAGCATCATCACCATCATCATCACCATCAGCATCATCATCAACACCATCACCAACAGCAGAATCATCGTCATCGTCACCGTCATCATTATTATCATCATCAGCAGCATCGGCATCAGCATCAGCATCATCATCATCACCATCAGCGTCATCATCCGAAGCAGCACCGTCGTCGTCATCAGCATCATCACCATCATCATCACCATCAGCATCATCATCAACACCATCACCAACAGCAGAATCATCGTCATCGTCACCGTCATCATTATTATCATCATCAGCAGCATCGGCATCAGCATCAGCATCATCATCATCACCATCAGCGTCATGAGCAGCAGCAGCAGCATCAACATGATCATAATACTCAGCAGCAGCATCGTCATCAGCAGCAACAGCAGCCGCAACATCATCATGATGATAATCAGCATCATCATCAGCAGCAGAATCACCATAATCATCATCATCAGCAGCATCATCAGCATCAGCATCATCATCATCATCATCATCACCATCAGCAGCAGCATCATCAGCAGCATCGTCATCATCATGAGCAGCAGCAGAAGCAACATCATCATCAGCATCATCATCATCATCATCATCATCATCATCATCATCATCATCCTCATCCTCATCATCAGCATCATCATCAGCATCACCATCAGCATAATCATCATCATCCTCATCATCGTAATCATCATCGTCATCATTATTATCATCATCATCAGCATCGGCATCAGCATCAGCATCACCATCATCATAATCAGCATCACCATCATCATCAGCATCATCATTATACTCATACGCATCATCCTCGTCATCATAATACTCATCATCATCATCATCATCATCGTGATCATAATTAGCATCGTCAACAGCAAGATCATCATCAGCAGCATCAGCATCAGCATCATCGCCATCAGCATCATCAGCATCATCATCAGCATCGTCATAATCATCATCATCCTCATCCTCATCATCCTCATCATCATCATCATCATCATCATCATCGTCATCATCATCATCATCATCATCATCATCATCATCATCGCCGTCATCATCTTCAACAGCAGCATGATTATCATTGTCGGCGGCATCAACGTTGCTATCAGCAACAACACCCTTGCCAGCTCATCGTCGCTGTCGTTGTCGCAATCATCACACTCGCCATCACCATGGCCGTCAGGCAGCATCCTTGTCCGAATCGCCGTCGACACCATGAGCAGCCGCATCATCGTGATCATCGTCATCATGTTCACCATCACAATCACCATCAGCAACTTCAACGACAGCAAGATCGAACATCATCGTCATCGTCATCGCCATCGCCATCGCCATCGTCATCGCCATCGTCATCGCCATCATCGTCATAATCATTGACATCCTGCTCTTCCTCCCCTCCTCCCCTCAGCCTCCGGCGCCATCTCCCCCTTCCCACTCCCCCCTCTCGTTCCTCCGCTCCTCCTCCTTCTCCTCCTCCTCCTCCTCCTCCTCCTCATCCTCCTCCTCTTCCGCCTCCTCCTCCTCCTCCCCTCCTCCTCCTCCTCCTCCTCCTCCTCCTCCCCCTCTCCTCCTCCCCCTCCTCCCCCCCCTCCTCCCGCCCACCCCTGGAACAAAAACGAACTCCTCCCCCTCCCCTGCCTCCCCCCCGAGGCGCACCCTCCTCCCCCGCCCCCTCCTGCCGCTCTCGTGCCCGCGGCCGGCGCCCCCACAGCGAGGGCACCCCGCGCCGCGCGGAGGCGACGAGGGCAGCGGCTCCGCGGCACCTCGCGGCAGGCGGGCCGGCCGGCGACGCTCCGCCGGGCGCGGTGCAGCCGTCGCCCTCGTGATGACTCAGAGGAGGAGGGAAGTACCCACACCTCTACCCTTCGGCCGCCCGTGTTCCTCGTTTTGGGGGCCTCCCGGGGGGGCCCTCCTCGCCGCCGCCGGCTTCGCCTCGGAACTCTGTTCCGAACGCACCCCGGGAGGGGTCTGGGGAACTGGCGGTGTCGGTACCCTTCCTTTGGCTTCTCCGATGACGGGCCTGGCGAGGCGGCTGCGCTTCGCTCCGAGATCGAGCGGCGCAGATGCGAGCTCGCACGAGCTCTGGCTTCGCGCCGACAGCGCAAAGCCACCTCCGCGCTGTCGTACCGACAGCTCCTCGTCTTGCTGCGACTCCTGCTGGTCGACCTCCTCCGGCCGCTAGCATCGTCTCCAAGGGCACGGGCGAGGAGAAGATGGGCAAACAAACCGATAGGCACGAACAAGATCCGCATGAAGAGGACCACGAAGCCGTTAGAAAGAAGTTGTTCGACCTTTGGCCGCGGCCGCAGCACCTGGGGCAGCGAACACTGCCGTCGAAGTCACTACAGTGCAGCTCACACCATGAAGGCAATACCAGCATCTGGCAAGAGCAGCAATTCTGAGGCGGTGTGCGACATGATCACAACTTTCGGCATACCAGGTATTCACGACAAGATGGAACTACAGGTTGCCGCGCAGACGCTGCGCAACCTTGAAGATGAGGAGGAGGCGTTGCGTCCTCAACGGTTTAGGCCGCCATCGGGTTCGAGTACGGGTGAAGAACCTAGTGTTCGGGGCTGGGGCCGTCACTTGAGCGGGGGAGCTCCCTCACATCGCTACAACGCCAGTGCCATCAAGGGTCCGAGGTCGCACGGCACTGACGGTACTCAACGCCGCGCGGCGGGATCCAGCCACCTGCACGGCCGTGTTGCGTTTACAGGAGGAGCAGGAGGAGGGACGAGAGAGAGCGAGGAGGGAGGAGTGAGCTCTGAGGAGTGAGCGCGGACGCCCTGGCGGAATGGCCCAGGATGGCCCGGGCGGAGGGCCCTGGCGGCATGGCCCGGCATCGGGCTTCGCGCCCGTCGTGGCCCTCCCCCCCCACCCTCCCCCCGCGGGCGGCGGTCCTCGGAGGTGACCGTGGTCTTGAGGTCGTTGCTGAAGTGGTAGAGGATGAGCGACAGCATGGGGTTCTCCGCCATGCGGACCTGGCCGAAGGATTGCAAAAAAAAGGATTGCAAAAAAAGGATTGCAAAAGGATTGCAAAAAAAAGGATTGCAAAAACGAAGGATTGCAATCCTTTTTTTTCCAATCCTTCGTTCAGGATAAGCGACAACATGGGGTTTTCCGCCATGCGGACCTGGCCCGCGCGGCCGCCCGCAGCCCAGGCAGGCCCGCCGGGGCCACCCCCGCGGGCGGATGGGCACCCCTGCGGGCCACCGCACCCCTCCTGGCCGGGCCCAGGAGTCGGAGCTGCTTGGAGAGGACACGCGAGAGGACACAAGACGCTTCCGAGGGCCACAATTCCACAGGAATGTATGACCACCTACCAGACCACCCCAACCCAACCCGACGACCCCAATTTCGGGTTGGGGGGGTACGGGTTTCATATGTGTTTTTTCAGTGTTCCCCGACCCCCCCCAACTGGAAATGGAGGGCAAATTGAGGCCTTCGGGTTGGGTTGGGGTGGTTTGGTGGGTGGTGAATGTAAGAGGGCATGGGTAGCAGAGCTCGGGACCCAGGGGTGCCCTTGATTTGGCAGGGTCGACCTACTAATCAGTCTCGCCTGCATCCTCGGCCCGGGGGATCGGGGCGTACACTCAATGGCTTGGCCAGGCAAGCGTCGACACCGCTCCCGGGGCCCACAGATCGTCCCGGCCAGAATGAGCGCGGTGCTCCGCGGACGTCCCCCGATCTCGGAGGCGGCAGCTGCGAGCGGGCCGGGAGGCCGCGCGCTTGCCACGGTGCCCCCCGCCCACTCCTGAACCCGCCGGGCTTTGCCCGTGAGCGCAGGATCGCCGCAACGGTGGCCACGGGCAAGCTGTTCCCGCGGCCTGCCTTGGCGGGCGTCGTGCCGAACGAGGCGGCCTCCTCAGGCGTGAGCGACCCGTTGGGGCTGTTGAAAGCGGCACTGCCGATCTCCGTTACATCGGCGACGATGGTACGGGTGCACCAGCGCCGCTGAGAGCGATGCTGTCCGTTCCCACCGTAGTGGAGAATGCGGTCCTGCTTGATGCGATCGCACTGCTACGATTGATGCGGTCGAACCCCGTCGCTCTGGAGAGGGGTTCTGTGGAGGACGAAGATAAACAGGATACGCGAGGGGGGGGGCAACGGTGGTGGGCTTGAAGGTGGTATTGGCCCGATGCCCATCACACCTTCGCCGAGGCATCACCACAACGTAGGCCCCATGCAGCTCTCGACCCTGTCCCTAAGACCAGTTCTCCATCGCGGACAGTCCTTCGACTGCCCCGGGGCTTGACCCCAGACGGCCGAAAGCAATACAACAAATCTGTACTACAAGCCGGTCGGAAGCAGGGCTTGAGACATCTGAATGGTATGTATATTAACATAATGCTCAAAAGCATTAGGAAGCTACCTGAGACATAGAATCAACATTAGTGAACCTCATAACTAGTGAGGTCACGCACTAAAATGAGCATTAGCTTCATGAACATTATGAGGTATGGACATGCGTTTTAGCATAATGAGTTTAACATGAGCTATGACATTGAGACATAGCATTCTGACATGCTAATCTGTATATCTAGGCAGAGACATGCAGCAGGAAGGCGGAAAAAGTAGATTGGGCTCGGGCCCGCCCAGAGCACAGCAGAGACAACAGAAACAGATCGACGCCTGAAGTCCAACATCACTGATGCGTCTTGGCTTTGCACTGGTCCTCTCCCTCCTCCTCCTCCTCCTCCCCCTCCTCCTCGTCCCCCCTCCTCCTCCTCCTCCTCCTCCTCCTCCTCCTCCTCCTCCTCCTCCTCCTCCTCCTCCTCCTCCTCCTCCCCCTCCCAAAACAAAAGGCAAACAACAGAGTAGGACTTGGACACACAGAAATACCGACTTTCAACAACCAGCGTATATCGCACTCTGTTGCACTCGAGCCGAAACTCGTCGCGTGTTCTTCCCCCCGGCGCCCGGAGGTCTGCACGCAGCACGCAAACACGGGGCCACCACGCCTCGATGCGCAGGTCGTCGCTGTCGCTGAGCTCCGCGGCGCTCACGGGCAGCGAGGTCGACCAGTGCAGGGACACGTTCTCGGGGAAGCATATGAACACGGGCTTCTCCTGGAACACGTCCTGCAGACCGGCGCCAGGCTGGGTCTGGGGCACCGTAACGGCGGAGGCAGGAGGAGCGGGAGTCTTTGTGTGGCCCCAGCTGATTAACACACAGATGATACTCCCGTGGGAATAATGATACAATTGGCCAAGGACGCGCCCTTGATCCTCGTGGCACGAAGGAACGCGCTGGTGGCGGCGCTCGCGCAGGGGCGGTGTTAAACGAAGGGAACAAACGCGGGACAGGCGGCGTGAACGAAGGGCACTCTTCGACCCCTTTGGACATAGCCATAGCGTTGCAGGCCATGGCATGGCATAGCCCAACCCAGGCTAGCATGGCATGGCGGGGCATAACTGAACATCGAGCCTGCCCGAAACACCAGCAAGTCGCGAGGAGCCGGCCTGATCACAGACACCAGGAATCGCTTCTCCTCGCTGAACAAACGGAGAGGCACTCTTGCTTAGCCAGCGGCGGCCGCTACGACACGCTATGCCGTGCATGCAGATAGCGTGTCGCTCTGGGGACTGGGACGTGCTTGACGTGAGCCGAAGCCGCCGGCGCGACACGTTAAGCAAACTTCCTGACCGAAGAGTCCCTGTAGCAAGCCTGTCGGGAGAAATGCACTCCCGCGTTGGCCCGCTCTTATGCTGTTTATCCGCCAGCCCTGCTAGAAGCGGGGCCGCATGCGAGAAAGCAAGATGTCTCTCTCGCTTGTGACCACGCAGCATTTACTAACAGGTGAGTCCAAGCTTGGGCGCGGCGCATGTTTTTTTTTTTGCCCGCCAACCTCAGCGACAGTCTACACATGCGAGGCAACCCTGCAAGCGCACGAGCGCGTTAGCATGCTAATCGATCATCGCGGTCAGCCCCATGCTCGCTTCGCGCGAGAACTCTCAAACCGCCCAGACCACATCGTGTCGATATCCCTGTCGGCCGCGCAAGATTCCCGGCTCAGTGGCCCCCCTGCCCCCAAAGAGGCCCATTCGACGGCCCCAGGCCTCCCCAAGGGGCCTTCACGACGGCCTACGGAACCTCCAAGGGGCGAAGGGTGACGGTTGCTGCTGGACTGCTGTATTACTTCCCATATCCTAATTGGTGTCCTTGTTTTCTCTGGACACCCCCCATCCCCTCTTCTCCCTTCGCACCATCACTCACTCAATCACTCTCACACACACCATCATCATCAAAACAACACCAGCCTCCTCATCATCACTCACATCATTATCGTCATCATCATCGTCATAATCACCACCACCACCACCACCACCATCATCATCATCATCATCATCATCATCATCATCATCAGCATCATCATCATCATCAGTAGTATCATCATTATAACCATCATGTTTCTTTATTCGTTCATTCATTTAAGCAATCAATCAATACACCACGCCATCATCATCAGTCACACGCTCACCACACACGATCCATATCTCACGCACTCGAATCATCATCAGCAGCATCATCAGCATCATGATCCATAGTTCATTTCTTATCACCATCCCGCCATCACCATCATCATAATCATCATCATCAGAATCATCATCATCATCATATCAGCATCCTCATAATCATCATCATCGCGCGCACACACGTACACGTTTGTTGTGCGGAAGTTTCGAACGGGAGCCTCGTCCGCGAGTGCAATGCAGGGACGTCTCACGCGAGAGTCCGCTCCGTATTGGGCCCGCAGGTCATGTTACTAACCGGAGCGGGCCATCTGAACCCTGTAACTATCGTCGCGCTCTCTGAGAAAAGTATCGTGCGGGAGCCTCGTCCGTGAGTGAAGCGCGAGGAAGTCTCAGGCGAGACAACACCCCCCGTGGGGCCCGCAACTCATGTTACCAATCCGATTGGGTCATCCGAATCCTGTAACTGTCGTCGTTATCAGGCTCCTGAGCCTTGAATCTGGAGGAAGTCTCGTGCGGGCGCCTCGTTCGTGAGTGAAATGTGAGGCAGTCTCAGGCGGGAGCCCCCTCCCTATCGGGCCCGCAGACCACTTTATCAATCCAGGCGGGTCATCCGAACCCTGTTGCCGTCGTCAAGCTCGGGCCTTTGAGCCTAGCCTTGAACCTGGAGGAACTCTCGTACGGGAGCCTCGGCCGTGACTGACATGCGAGGATGTCACAAACGCAGAGAAAACAGTAAGAGCGCTTCACCCATCACGAGGACGACGAGGAGGGTTGTTTGCAGACTCGCCGAGAAGATTCTCGTGCGAGGCCCTACCGCCAGAGTAATTGACGTCCCTGATCACTCCAGTCTTGTTCCAATTTTCCCAAATCCACAATGAAGCCCTCGTCGCCTCAGCACACCCCGCGCAACCCTCACACACCTCACCTCGCACCCCCTCTCCTCCTCACCACGTCAATCATCACTACCACCACCTCGCGATGGTCATCAGAAATCATCACCATCTTCATCATCAGCACCATCACCATCACGATCAACATCATCGTCGTCATCATCAACATCAGCATCACCAAAACGATCCTGCTCATCATCATCATCATCATCATCATCATCATCAGCAGCATCATCACCATCACCGTCATCATCACCATCCACTATCATCACTACGACATCCCAGCGCAAGAAGAGCACCCCAACATCATGATCGCGAGTGAACCGCGAAGAAATCCGAAGCGGGAGCCCCGCCCCAATGGGGCCCGCAGCTCATGTTACTAGTCCGAACGGGTCTCGTCAATGGGCCCCTGTGTCCTGAATATGGCGGATGCTTCGAACGAGAGCCTCCCGTGTGAGCGAATTTCGAGGAAATTTCAAGCGGCAGTCACCTCCCTACGGGGCCCGCAGCTCACGTTAGAATCCGAGCGGGTCATCGGAAACCTGTAGGTGTCGTCACTGTGGGTTATTTCGCCCCTGGATATGGCGGACGTTTCTGGCGGGAAGGTCGTCTGTGAGTGAATTGCCGGCAGTCCCCTTCCTATGGGGCCCTCAGTTTGTGTTACAAGTCCGAAAAAGGCCACCGGAACCGTGTAGTCGCTGTCACATCCGGGCCCCTCTGTCACTAATCTGGCGTAGGTCTCGTGCTGGAGCTTCGTTTGTGAAGGAATCCCGAAAAAGTCTCAAGCCTGGGCCCCTTCCCTACGGGGCCCGCAGCTCATGCTGCTGTCGGGATCCTCAGTCCTGAATATGGCGGAAGTATGGTGCGGGAGCCTCGCCTGTAAGTGACTTGCGAGAAAATCTCCTGCGGGAGCCCCCTTCCGCACGGGGCCGGCAGCTCACGTTACCGGTCCGAGCGGGTCATCCGAACTTCGTGCCTGTCGTCACGTAGGCCTCTTGAAGCTTGAGTATTGAGAAAACCTCTGGCGCGAGCGTCGTCTGTGACTGAGCGAAGACGAAGTCTCAGGCAAGAGCCCCTTCCTTATGGGGCCCGCAGCTCACATTACTAACCAGAGCGGGCCATTGGAACCCTGTAACTGTCGTCACGTCTGGCCCCTTGAAGCCCGAATACGGCGAAGGTCTCGAGGGGGAACCTCGTTTAAGGGTGAATGGCGAGTTCCTGGAGCGCGGGCCGCTGGCTCCCATGCGGAAGGCACTCAGCCCCAGGGAGCTCGACAGGAGAACGGGGAGCTCCAAGGCCGAGGCGGAGCAGCTCGCAGCAGAGCTGAGTTTCGCGCTGCTTCCCGCCTGAGCGCGGCCGCGACTAGCTCGAGACCTGCGGGGTTGTCCCAACGGCTTGGTCCCCCGGCCCAGCGGCCCGAGGGGTTGTCCCAACGGCCTGGCCCACGGGGTTGCCCCAGCGGCTTCGCGAACTGGCCATCGGAGAACGCGCCCATGCCGGCCGTGGCGGCAACGGCGCCCAGGAAAATCGGCTTGCGCGCTCTTGCTACAGGGGCGGGGGAGGAGGTGGATAGGGGAGAAGAGGCAGAAGGACGAGGAGGAGGCAGAGCAGGGGGCGGGAAGAGGGCCCCCGCCAGGGCGAAAAGGAGAAGGGCGATGAGGAGACGGGGCGAGAGCCTCTGCACTGACATGGACGACGATGAGGTTGATTTCCAGATTAGTTTGGGAGATTCTCGTGCGGGGCCCGACCTTCGGAAAAATGTCGCGTCTGCTCGGAGGCCAGGCACGCCCAAAACAGCAAGCGGAGGGGAAGCGAGGTTCACATCAGCGGCCGCCCTAAAGTCCCCCCGAATTCCCACGGGGACGCCACTGAACGGCCAGGCAGGCCCAAGAGGCCTCGAAGACGGCACCAGGAGGCCCCGAAGACATCTCCAGAGGGCCCCAGGGCAGCCTGGGAGGGCCCCAAGAACCATCGAGGGAACCCCAAGAGGCCACCCAAAGGCCCCCCACAGGCCACCAATGCCCCCTGGAGGGCGCCCTGTGGGCCCCAGGGAAGACGAAGAGGAGAAGGAGGAGGAGGAGGAGGAGGAGGAGGAGGAACAAGAGGAGGAGGAACAAGAGGAGGAGGAAGAGGAGAACGAGGAAGGGCAAGAGGAGACGGAAGCGGAAGCGAAGGACGAAGAGGAATCAAGGCGGCGGGGGAGGGGGAGGGAGAGGGGAAAAGGCGAGGAGGTGAGGAGGAGGAGGAGGAGGAGGAGGAGGAGGAGGAGGAGGAAGAGCGGGCGGTCGCAGCGCCCAGACTATGCGCGCTCCGAGCGCGCGAGCCGCAGAGCGAGGGGAGCCCACGGTGTGGCTCAGCCTCGGGGGCCGACGTCAGAAGGCGCAGCCGTTGAGATGATCTCAGAGGCTCCAAAGACGGCGCAGAAAGCCCCCTCGAGAGCCCCAAGAGGCTCCTCCCCGGGCCCCCCAAAGGCTCTCGAGGGCGCTGCGCATCCCGAGGAAGCCCCCAGGACTGCAGAAGAGGCCCACATGCCGATCCTGTGCCTCTTGTTCCTCCAATCGCCGGGGAAGAAGCAGCAGGCTGGCGCAAGGTTTGCTCTAGACTCAAGTACCCTGGCAACATTGGCACCGTTTCGCATGCACTTCAAGGTACTAAAAGCGACGTCATGGCTGCGGCGAGCACGGAAGCACATCTCTCAACGTCCGCCTTGTTCGTGTGACAGTTTGCATGGTTGATCGTGCGCGTGCTTGTGAGCGAGCTCGCCTCATAGGAGGAAGTTAAGGAGGAGGAAGAAGATAAAGAGTGTGACGACGACGACGACGACGACGACGACGACGACGACGACGACGACGACGACGACGACGACGATGCCGACGACGCCGACGACAAAAATACGCATCACGACGCTGCCCAGTATTCACAGCACGACGTCTGGACCAGCGGTCCTAACACCGAGGTGTACACTGATCGCCCTCCCCTTTGCTCGTGTGGCCGACTCCGAAACCCTGGATACGCCAGAATGGAACTCTCTTTGGAGCTCTAGCTGTGCTTCCGCTGGCTGGCTGCGGCAGGGCGAGGCTGAGGGGCAACGATGGGGAGGACTGGCATAGGGGGGGAACCATCTGCCTGGAATCGGCGATACATCGCCGATAGATCGGCGACGGCCCCCCCCTAGCAGATCCGCACGTTCCCGGGCGGGGTTGGGCCATCAGACCCCCATCGGCGAGGAAAAGGGGAGGAGGAGGAGGAGGAGGAGGAGGAGGAGGAGGAGCACGAGGAGGAGGAGGAGGAGGAGGAGGAGGAGGAGGAGAGGAGAAGGAGGAGGAGGAGGAGGAGGGGGAGGGGGTCGACCACGAAGACAAAGGCTCCCCGACAAAGAGCCGAACGAAGCCGCGCACTGACGGCGCATTGGCATTAACCTCCTCCTCTCCTCCTCCTCCTCCTCCTCCTCCTCCTCCTCCTCCTCCTCCTCCTGAAGCCCAAATTTTGAAGGTCTCCAGGGGCCTTCAGAGGTCCTCCGAGGTCTTCTCGTTGGCAGCGATCACAAAAGAATAAAGGGAGGGGGGCAGGTTTCTTAGAAGCAGGGGTGCTTCTAAGAAGCAGGGGTGCTTCTAAGAAGCAGGGGTGCTTCTAAGAAGCCTTCCCCCCTCCGCCTACCCACCCCCCTCTGCACGTGGCCGATCTCAGGAGGTCCCCGGAGGTCCCCAGAGGCCTCTAGAGAGGCCTCCAGATGGGACCTGAAAAGGGCAGGCAAGGCTCGAAAGTCGCCCGATGCCCGAATAAGACGAAGCCAGGACGAGGATAAAACATGGTGAGGATAAATCGAGAATCTCTCAATTCTGGCGGCTCTGAAAGGATGTCTCGGGCGCCGCGGCCTTCTCAGAGCGTCCCGGAACGCTCTGAAGGCTCTCCGAAACGCTGGAAGCGATCTGTTCTCGTCCCAGACCCCGTCCGACCGAAACCTCCGAACCCAGACGTCCGACGATGAGATCTTTCCATCCGCGGCCCCGAGCGTCTCGGCCACTTCCCCGCGAGCAGTCGTCCGCAAGGATCCCATTGTGACTGTCGCCAGCCCCGAGAACGGCCCCTGGATGCCGAGATTCGGGGAAGACGTCCGGATTGCAAACGAAAGCGTCCCTCGGATGTCTGGAAATCCCGATGCTCGAGCAAGGAGAGCAGAAAACTGTACAGACATAAAACATTGGAGCTGCGCGCGGATGTTTGGGGATCTGCGCTGCACCCCCCTGCCTGGCGCGCGGATCGCGCCAGGGGGGTCCAGCGCAGATCCGAGGAATCTGCGCGGAGCTCCGTGCGGAGGAAACTCATGAGGAGGAGGAGGAGGAGGAGGAGGAGGAGGAGGAGGAGGGGAGGAGGGGGGGGAGAGGAGGAGGAGGAGGAGGAGGAGGAGGAGGAGGAGGAGGAGGAGGAGGAGGAGGGAGGAAGGAGGAGGAGGAGGAGGAGGAGGAGGAGGAGGGAGGAGGAGGAGGAGGAGGAGGGAGGGAGGGAGGGAGGGAGGGAGGGGAATCTCAGGAGGGGAGGAGGAGGAGGAGGAGGTTCGTGCTCATGCCATGTTCTGCTCGCCTGGGAGGCCTGTCCTGGCCCCGGAACATCACCGTCCAGGCGAACATGGCGGCGGGGAAGCGGTTGACGCACCGCGGGGCGCCGTCGCGCGGCGTCGCGCTCTCGTAGACGATGCGCAGGCGGTCCTTGGCAGCCCTCTTTGCTTCGGGCTGCGGGGGATACGGTCATCGTGCTACCCCTCCTCCCCTCCTCCTCCCCCTCCTCCTGCTCCTCCTCCTCCTGTTCCTCCTCCTCCTCCTCCTCCTCCTCCTCCTCCTCCTCCTCCTCCTCCTCCTGCTCCTCCCATACGGGCCGCTGGACACGGGACGCCTCCGCTCACGGCGAGCCTCGGCTGCGCATGGGCTCCCCGAGCTGAAGCAGGGGAACGGCCCGAAAACAAGTGGCCCTCCTGAGCCCAAAGGCCCTGGTTTCGCGCCCCGTGACTGGCTAACTACCCCTCTCGGTGGCGTTGCACGAGAGAGAGAGAGAGGTACAGAGAGAGAGAGAGAGAGAGAAAAATTGAGGGGGAGAAAGAGAAATAAAAAGAGAGAGAGAGGAAGAGAGGGAGAAAGAGAGAACAAAAAGAGAGAGAGAGAGAGAGAGAGACACACCGCGGGACCAAGCTAGGTGCGCTCGCGCCGGAACTGACAGCCTACCCCTCCCACCCATGCCTTCCCGTTGCGCTGATGCTTCTTGATCCGCGGAAGCATGTCACAGCAGACCTGGAACTCCAAAAAAGACCGCAGTATCGTGGCATGCGCAATCGGAAAAGGGGGAGCTGCGTACATAGGGGGGGGGAGGAGGTGGCAGATGAGCAGGAGGATGAGCAGGAGGAAAGGAGGAAGAGGAGGAGGAAAGAGGTGGAGGAGGAGGACGAGAACGAACAGCAGCAGCGGGAGCTTTGAGTGGAGGGAGCGGGGGGACTAGGAGGACCACAAGGTGGAGGAGGGGAAGCAAGGGGGGGCGACAACGATGAAGAAAGGACTCGGATCCAGAAACGTGGCCCGCGCTGGAGCGAGGGCACCGTTCTGAACGACGGGCGCAGGAGCGCCGATCCTAAAATGAGGCCAACGCTGCAGCGACAGCACGAGTTCGGGGGACCGAGCACAATCGGATTGCTAAGACAACGTAAGACAGACCACCTTTAAACTTCGTGCTGAAAGAACCAAGTGCAGAGAGGGCCGACTATCTTCCGGACAGGGTCAGGGGGGAGAGGAGAGCAGTATTCACAATGTGTAAGTGTAGAGAGGGCGCCTGCCGACTGCGGAGGGTGAGCGAAGGGACTACTGGCCAAGGACGCGATCCATAGAGGACGACAAGGATAGTTTGCAAGACTGAGAAGGCTGCGCGGAGGAGGCAACTCAACGGATGAGGTTGAGGAAATATTATCTCACGCACCTCTCCGAGAGAGTACAGCTCAGAGGCGGTTGCTTGAAGCCGGAATATCATGTCCGCGATGTGTCTGGCCGCTTCGCTTGAGACATCTTCAAATTCAGAAAATCGTGCGCACTCCTCATGCAGATTGCGACATCGGAGTCCAAAAATACCAAGGATGCTCAACACACTGATACGACTAAATGAAATCCAATGGTTATGGACGCGGCTCTTCAAAAAATGGCCGGCTCGCTTGAAGAATCTCCCAAAAGTTGAATCCCGACGTCATCCAAAACGACAGCTTCGCCCGAGACATTCTCCTAAAGTTGACTTTGGAGCGTGCGTTCAATTGCAATCGCACGGTGTTGAAACCTCACAACCCCACCTTCGTTCGACTACAATCCCGCTACTGCACCTGAGTCCCATAAGCCATCTGGTGATCCTCAGTCGCCTCCTCTCCTTTTCTTCTGCCTCTCCATCTCCTGATTCCTCCGACTCCTCGGACCCGACGTCATATTTCTCTTATTGCTCTCCTTCTGCGATGCTTACGTGATGAACCTGAGCACGCACGTGCCACTTGTAAGGGACCTCCTCTTTTTTGACTGGGGTGCTCCTGGAGACGGGCCTCTGAACCACACATCACCACGGCAGAAAATGGGTCAAAGCATTCCGTCCTGCTCCCGCCCGGGCTTACCCGTATAGGGGCTGCAGCCATTCAGAATTACATCGCGATGGGGTCGTCGGCTCTTCTGGGCTACGACTCCCTTCCTGAGAGCGAGAACGGGCGAAGGCTCCACAAACCTTGCACGCGGTATACCCCCCCCCCTTCTCGACCACTCCGTGCTCCAGAGGTTGGGAAAGGGGGGTGACACAGCAGGCCCAGGACTCCCGCGCCTCGGCCGCCCTCTCGGCCGCCGCGGCTCGAATCTGGTCAGAGGCACACTCACCGTGCACCAGTGCCTTGGTTTTCAAACGGACCCTGCCTCTTGAAACAGCTGCCCCCCATCCAGGGCGCATCTCTCGTTTGGCCAGGCTGAGACGAGGAGGCCACACGGACAAGGCGAGAGCCACAGAGACACTGCCAGGTGCCACCCTCGAGGAGCCTGAAACGGTGACCCTTTTCCTCCTCCTCCTCCTCCTCCTCCTCCTCCTCCTCCTCCTCCTCCTCCTCCTCCTCCTCATCATCATCATCATCATCATCATCATCATCATCATCCTCATCATCCTCATCCTCCTCCTTGTTCTCCTTCTCCTTCTCCTCATCCTTCATTTCCTTTCCTTTAAATTTTTATATATATATATATATATATATATAACAAAAAATCCTCCCTGTCGCACCCCGAAGCGTGTCGGTGGAGCGGGCCGGGCGTTTCCCCTGAGACTTCCTCACCACTTATGACCCTCAAGCTTGACGTGTGCAGCAGCATCTCGGACGGAGGGCGGGCCGCTTCCGAAATGTGGCGCTCGCCTTCGCGCCGCGCACGGGAGGGCGGGTGGGTTTCAAGACGTGGCTCTCGCCACGGCGCCGCGCGCAGACTTCTTGAAGAAGTAGAGCTCCACGGGCGGAGGGTGGCTCCTTTTCTCCAAAAGCGTGGCTCTCGCCGCCGTGCCGCGCGCATCCGTCCGAAAAGTTCACAGGAGTGTCGAGGATTCTCGTGGCTGGCGTCCCAGGCATGATGCGTCGGCACGACGTCGGACCGGCAGGGCGCAGCAGTTGCGCTGGTTCACGGTGCTGAAGGCCCCGGAGTGGTGTTCTGGCAGGGCTCGGGACCGTCAGGGAGCAGCAGTAACTCTGATTCGCGGAGGTGAAGTCCCAGGAATGCTGCTGTGGCACAGTTCAAGATTTTCAAACGGTTGTCTTCCAACGGGGCACTTCACTCTATGAAAGTGAATCCTTGTAGGGACCTATGCAGAGGGAGCTTGGAGGGAGGTTATGTTACAATATTGTTGATGAGTTTCGGGTTTACACTGGTCCTTTTCTAAACTTCAGCCAAGATCAACGGCTCGCCCCATGGACTGGTTTTCCACGCTTCAGGGTCCAAAGTGGGCCTCCAGAGCCCGAAATCGCAGAGAAACCAGCGTCGTTGAAACGATCACGACGTCGGGGGCTGGGATCCCCAGAAATCTCTAGAGCTTCCGGGGAGGCTGGAGGCCCGCCAAAGTCACCAGGAGGCCTTCGGAGGTCCAACCAAAAAAAAATCCTGGCGAAGGCGCCTAAGCACCGCACTTGTGAGCATTGCCTTCAGTGGAGCTCCCTGTGAGGCCACGAAGTGTGTGACAGGAGTGCCAGGGGTGCCGCACTGCGCCTGGGGGCGCCACTGAGGCTTTCGGTGGATCTCCACCACGGGCCACGACACGTGTGAGCGGTGTGCCAGAGTGGGCCGGCCTTGAGGACGCATGTGGGTGTTGCTATTAGGGCCTTCGGTAGAACTCCCCATAGGGCCACGAAACGTGTGAGAGGTCTGCCCGGATGAACCTGGGGACGCATGCGGGCGCTGCCACTAGGGCCTTCGGTGGAGTCCCCTATGGGGCCACGACGCGTGTGAGTGGTGTGCCGACATGGGCCTGGAGACGCATGCAAGCTGCGCCATTGTGCCTTCCTTGTGGCCTTAGTTGGAGCTCCCTATGGGGCCACGAAACTTGTGCGTGCCGAAATTGGAATGCGGAGGGCAGTGGAGGAGCAGCGTGAAGCAGGCTAGGTGACGCGGGACGCTGTCCCTTCAAAAAGAGGACCACACACCACAGAGCGGTTGCGAAAAAAAAACGAAGTGCGCAAAACGATGATGAGCAGGAGAGGGATCAGGGGACTGCCGCCGCTTCCCCCCGTGCCCCCCCGCGGGAAGGGCCGCGGTCTCCTCCGCGCCGTAATCCAGCCTGGTGGCCGCCGCGGCGCCCGAGCCGCTCCCATCTGCTCCCGAGGAAGAGGACGAGAAGGCGAGAACTGCGTGCTGTTGCAGGTCGCGCTCGGCTCCCAAGAGCACGCAGGAAACAAGGACGCAGCTCTCTGAACACGCTCCTGCGGTGAAAGCAAGACGCAGCAGGTGGTCGCCACCGCGGGCCTCCAGGAACGGAGTTCGGGCCCCAGGGCCGCCAAAGAACTCCCAGGATCAATGGCCCCGCCTGGGGAAAGGGCCCAGCTGGCCCTCGGAAAAAAAAGAACCCCCCCCCCAAAAAAAAAAAAAAAAAAAAAAACGAGCGGCCATGTCTGGGGAGGAAAATGAAGGCTTCTGAGCGTCCTGTGGCCCTGGACGGGCCTCGGGGGGGCGGGCCTCGGGGGGGGCCCGGGAAGCTACCCGGGAGGCTTCCTCGGGAAGCCTCCACGGCCCAAAGCCTGACGGCGTGAGTCTTGTCGGCCCGCGGTCTCAGAGCTGTGGGCCAATGCCCTCGGGGCGAATTGCCGCGCGGGGCGTGTTTTGATGGACCCGGGGCCTGAATACGGCCCCGGAAGCCGCAGGGGGGAAGAGAGCCGCCAGACACTGCAGCGCCCATGGAGAATGTGTACACACATACATACGTGCATGCATGCGCACAGGCACACCATACACCTTGCATACATACATACAGGCATGCAAACATGCATGCATGCATGCGTACATACATGCATACATACATGCATTCATTCATGCATTCATACAGACATGCATACATACATGCGCGCATGCATATGTATATGTATATATATATGTATAGATTCGCACGTACGTAAGTGGATGCATACATGCAAACATATATACATATATACAGACATGCAGCTATGCATACATACATAAATGCATACAGGCAGACAGACAGACAGGCAGGCAGACGTAAATACATACATACACCCAGGCATACATACATGCATGCATGCATGCATGCATGCATACATTGAGGCAAACATATAAACAAACAGACAGACAGACAGACAGACAGAAAGACAGGCAGGCAGGCAGACAGACAGACAGGCAGACAGGCAGACAGACAGACAGACAGGCAGACATACATAAATGCATGTCTAGATGCATACATACATACACAAATACAGACAGGCAGGCATACATACATAAATACATACATACTGACATACATACATGCATACATGCATACATGCAGACATACAGAAATAAATGCATGCCGACTGGATAAATATATACATACGTACAAGAATACAGACCTGCCAACATATCGACATGCATACATGCATGCATACATACATGCATGTATTCATACATGCAAACATATATGCATGGATGCATGCATGAACAACTACATTGACATATACATACAAAACCGTGCATCCCCATATATACATACATGCATACATGCATACATACATGCATACGCACATGTCTACATGCATGCGTGTGTATATATATATATATACATACGTACATGAGTACAGACATGCATGCATATGTACATATCTACATACATACACGCATACGTGCATACATGCGAACGTTCATGTATGCATACATACATCTATGCGAGAGAGCGTGATCCACCGCCGCTTTACTGTGGAAAATTGCCCCCCTCTTCCTCCGGAACCCAGGGTTCCCCCCCCCGCCCTCCGAAAATCCCCCCCCCCTGCTGGACCCCCCCCACCACCTCCCCTCCCACGGCAAAACCCCCCCCCCTCTCCTAACCCCTCCATCCCCCCTCCTCCCCCTCGAAAACCGGGGGGGGGTCACTACCGGTTCGAACCCCTTCCCACACACCCCCCCACTCACCGCCAGCAAACGACTCCCGGTCCCTACCACCGTCCGCGCCACATCCCCCACTGTTGTTCCCAGCACCACTGTCCTCACCACCACTGTCCCCACTGGTTCCACCACCGTCCCTACTGTCCCCACCAGTGTTCCCACCACTGTCGCACTGTCCCCACTGTCCCCACCACTGTTCCCACCACGGTTCCACTCTCCCCACTTTCTCCACGGCCCCAACCACTGCCCGACTATCCCCATCCCCACTGTCCCACTGACTCCTCCGCTGTCCCACTGAGCTGTCCCACTGTTCCCACCACTGTCCCCACTGTCCCCACCACTGTCCCCACTGTACCTCTGTCCCATTGTCCCACCGCCGTCCTCGCCACCGCCTTCACCACTGTCCCCACCACCACTGTACCCTCCACTGTCCCACTGTTTCCACCTCCCCCTGTCCCCACACCACTGTCCCCACCACCACCGTCCCCACCACTGTCCACTGTCCCCACTGTTCCCACCATTGTCCTCACCACTGTCCCCACCACTACAGTCCCCACCACTGTCCCACTGTCCCCACCACTGTCCCGCTGTCCCCTCACCACTATCCCCACCACCACCGTCCCCACCACTGTCCGCACCCCCCCTCGGTTTTCGAGGAGGGGGGGGGGGTTCGAACCGGTAGTAACCCCCCCCGGTTTTCGAGGGGGGGGGGGTTCGAACTGGAAGTGACCCCCCCCCTTTTCATGATGAACTGGGGGGGGGGAGGGGTTCGAACCGGTAGTGACCCTCCCCGGTTTTCCGGAGGGGAGGGGGAGGGTTCGAACCGGTAGTGACCCCCCCCCGGTTTTCCGCCAGCAGCGGTAGAACACGCTCTTTCATATATGCATGTGTACGTGCATGCATACACGTATAAATATGCATTCATACACAAATGTGCACATGCATGCATGCATACATACTATGTGCACATGCATACCTAGATACACACCTGTATGCACGCGTACAGTCCTACGCACATTGCCTATATGATGTACACACCGAAGTAGCTGCATGCACACACGGAATATATATATATATATATATATGTTAGAACCACGCGCGCGCTTCGCGCGCGCTCGGCTTCTAGCGCAGCCCAAACGAACCTCACAGGATCGGATGAGGATGGACGCCATCCCGCTAGGATCACCATATGGGAGCTTATTTCCTGATGGGCGCTTCAGGGAGTCGCTGAATAAGCAGCCCCAAGAGATCCTGCGGCTCTGAGCAGATACACCGAACAGCTGCCCGAAGGGAACGTTTGGGAGGATTTGGGAGGCTCGTGGCCATGGACTGTGTTCAGCGGTCTTGAAGATCTGCCCCTCGAACTATCTCGGAGGTGCCTTCGGAGGTCCCTGGTAACCCTGGGGTCCAATACTATGGGGCAATTCAAACCATCTAAGGGCTGCCAGGGTCAGTCCAAGCCGTCTTGGGCGCGGCCTTTGGGATCCCACAGGCCGTATTGTGCCTTGCTCTGAAACGTAAAGATGTTGCACGACACACTGTACAAGACAGATGACGAAGCTCACTCTTCTAATGCAGGCGACGTCCAGCACGACTTCGCGCCATAGGTATGCGCGCAGGGCGAATACCCCAGCTGTTTTTGGAAAGAGCCAAGGAAGGCCCCAGGAAGGCGCACAAGGCAACCACGAGGAGGACCCAGGGTAGCCTAAGGAGGGGATGCCCGAGAGCCCCTAAGAGCCTGGCAAAACCATGCTGGGAATAGATGTGGATGCATTTGGGGAACGTTCTTGAAGTGCTCTTGGCAATTTCTGGGGTGGAGGGGGTCTCTTCCGTTTTTGTTCGGGTCTCCTGGTGGCCTCTTGTCACTTTTTGGAGGCGCATCGGGGGCCTCCCCAGGGCTCTTGGCGTCTGGGCTTGAAATGTAGGTTTGGGTCCCCGCTCTTGCCCCATTCTTGAGGCCGTCTTGAGGGCCTCTCGGGCCGTCTTGGCACTCTCTTGGGCCGTCTTGGCGCTCTCTTGGGTTGCATTCGGGCCGTCGCGGGGACCTCTTGGGCTATGTTGGTGCTGTCTTGGGGACCTCTTGGACCGTCTTTGAGCGCTGGAACGCCAGAGAAACATGAGAGGGGGGCGGAGAGAGGAAGAGGAAGGCGTGAAGGAGAGACGAGGAGGAGGGAGGAGGGAAAATGACGCAGCGGGGAAGAGGGAGAAGGAGAGGAAGGAGAAGGATGTGAAACGATAGACGGAGGAGAAGCGAAAGCATCAGAGAGATCAGCGCGTCTCGTTGGCCGCTGGGAAGCAGCCCAGCGGCAAGAGGCCTCCTCTCCCTCCTCCTCCTCCTCCTCCTCCTCATCCGCCTCCTCCTCCTCCTCCATCCCTTTTTCCATGTAGATAAGTCCCCCCTGTCGCAGGCCGAGATGTGCCAGCAGGGCGGGCCAGGCGGTTCGCCTGAGAGTTCCTTACACTGTATGGCCCTTAAGCTTACAGTTGGCACGAGATTCACGGATGGAGCGCGGGTGGTCTTCAAAATGCGGTTCTCGCCTTAGCGCCGCATACACACGTGTTCAACAATTGCAAAGAGCTTCACGGATGGAGGGCGGGTCGTTTTCAAAGTGTGGCTCTCGCCGTAGGCCGCGCACATTCGTCTTAAACGATTGGCAAGAGCGTCACTGATCGAGGGCGAGCGGTTTTCAAAATGTGGGTCTCGCTTCAGCGCCACGCACATGCGTCTGAAAGTTTGCAACAGCTTCACGGATGGAGGGATGCTCCTTCATGTGGTTCTCGCCTTCAGAGTTCACGACACTATCACGGATCATGGTTGACGTCCCAGACATGATGCTTCGGCACGGTGTAAAACTGCCAGGGCGCAACAGTTACGCTGATTCGCGGCGTTGAAGTCCTAGGAATGGTGTCCTGACACGACTCAGAGTCGCCTGAACGCAGCAGCAATCTTGATTCGCAACGTTGAAGTCCCAAGAAGCGTTCTGGAACGGTTCAAGAGTTTCGGACGGTTGTCTTCCAGCGGGGCGCTCCCCTCCGTGAAAATGAACACTAGTCGGGACCTGTGAAGAGGAAACTTGGAGGGAGGGCCTTTTGCAATATCGTTGATGAGTCTGGGGTTTGCACAAATCCTCCTCCTGATCCTCCCCTGGCCCCTCCTCCTCCTCCTCCTCCTCCGCCTCCTCCTCCCATCTCATTCACGTCCTGCTTAGCGCCGCCACATGTGTGGATAGTCGCTCCGATACTCTGATGCTACTCCGCATCTCCTGCTCCTCCACGAGATGTCCGTCAGCACAGGCGCGCGGCATCGAAGGGGGTACGTCCTGATGCACCAATCGAAGAAGACGCCCTCCACAATCCTGGCTGGCGCGGCCGGGCGGCGTGCTCGACTATCCAAATCCTCTGCCTGCACCTCCTCCTCCTCCTCCTCCTCCTCCTCCTCCTCCTCCTCCTCCTCCTCCCTTCTCCTCCTCCTCCAACTCCTCTCCTCCTCCTCCTCCTCCTCCTCCTCCTCCTCCTCCTCCTCCTCTCCTCCTCCTCCTCCTCCTCCTCCTCCTCCTCCTCCTCCTCCCTCCTCTCCTCCTCCTCCTCCTCCGCCTCCTCCTCCCTTCTCCTCCTCCTCCTCCTCCTCTCCTACTCCTTCCAACTTCCAACCTTCCAATAATCCTCTTCCTCCGTATCCTGCTCATCCTCCCCCTCGTCCTCCTCTTCCTCGCAATCCTCCTCCTCCTCCTCCTCCTCCTCCTCCTCCTCCTCCTCCTCCTCCTCCTCCTCCTCCTCCTCCTCCTCCTCCTCCTCCTCCTTCCTCCTCCTCCTCCTCCTCTCCTCCTCCTCCTCCTCCTCCTCCTCCTCCTCCTCTCCTCCTCTCCTCCTTCCTCCTCATCTGCCTCCTCCTCCTCCTCCTCCTCCTCTCTCCTCCTCCTCCTCCTCCTCCTCCTCCTCTCCTCCTCCTCCTCCTCCTCCTCCTCCTCCTCCTCCTCCTCCTCCTCCTCCTCCTCCTCCTCCTCCTCCTCCTCCTCCTCCTCCTCCTCCTCCTCCTCCTCTCCTCCTCCTCCTCCTCCTCCTCTCCTCCTCCTCCTCCTCCTCCTCCTCCTCCTCCTCCTCCTCCTCCTCCTCCTCCTCCTCCTCCTCCTCTTCGTTATCAGCACCATCATCATCATTATCATCATCAGCATCATCATCAGCATCATCAGCATCAGCATCATCATCAGCAGCATCATATGCAGCATATTTCTCCTCATTATCCTCAACATCCTCCTCCTCATCATCATCAGCATCAGCCTCATCAGCATCAACATCAGCAGCATCATCACCATCATCATCAGCAGCAGCATCATCATCAACCTCCTTATCCACCTCCACATGATCCTCCACGTGTTCCTCATCCTCCTCCTCCTCCTCCGCACCCTCCTTCCCTCCGAATCCAGAGCCGAAACCGAATCCACCTTCTCTGAATCCTACTGCTCCGCCGCCCTTCTCCCCCCCTCCTACTCCTGCTCCCCACTCCTCTTCGCACTCCTCTACATCCGCCTTCCCGTTCCTCCACTCCTCTCCAGCGGTCCCCCGCGACGCATCCCCCCCGCCCCACACCGCGGTCTGCCAGCCAACCACCCCCACACCCACCACGTCCACTGCGGCCTGCCCACCGTCGCACCCCGCGATCCTCGCACCACCGAAAATAACAAGAACGGTCATCTCACGAACATGTAATCTCGGCTCATTCCCCAACTCGGCTCTGCCAAAGTGAGCCATACATGTGGGCGATTTCGGGAACCCTGCGCCCAAAAACGTTTTCGTCAATTGGGGGCGCATCTTTTGCTTCCGCCGCCTTCCGCCGCCCTTCCACCGCATTCCGCCGGCTTCCGCTGGCGGAGGCGGCCTCGTTCCACTTCCGCCGACCTTCCGCCGCCTCCGCCGAGGAAGAGACGATAATTCCTTCCATCCTCGAAGGCAAGGCCCTCTTTGGAAAGCCTCACGCACTGTGAACGAGCCGATGGGCGGTGAACGAGAGGCGGCCCCTGGGGTTCCTCCGGTTGCCCCGTTGCCCCGCTGCCCGGCGTTCCTCGGGGCTGCCTGGGCTGGGCCATGGACTCCCTCCTGCCTCATTCCTCTCGTTCTCCATCCCTCCTTCACCGTTCTCCTTCTCCATGCCTCCTTCTCTTTCTCCTTCTCCTTCTCCTTCTCCTCCTCCTCCTCCTCCTCCTCCTCCCTAGAGCTTTTCCTTCTCCCCCGCTCCCTCCCCCCGCGGGCCTGGCCGGCGCGACCTCCATGGACTCCCTCACGCCATCGACCTTCCACTCTCTTCCCTCAGAGAAGGCCTCGCGGGGCGGGGGCGGCGATCCTCCATTTCTTTTCCTTGTAAAATGGCCCATCCCTGTCGCACCCCTAAACCAGTCGGAAGGGTGGGCTGGGCGTTTCGCCTGAGACTTCCTTACCATTTACGATCCTGAAATTCTTTGAACATTGAAACAGTGTTTCATCGATAAAGGACGGGTCGCTTTCACAAAGTGTGGTTCTCGCCTCAGCGCCGCGAACTTTCGGTTTAAAATGTTGCAAGAGTTTCACGGATTGAGGGCGGGAAATGTTCAAAATGTGGCTCGCGCCTTAGCGCCGCGCCTTTTCGATAAAATTAAAAGGCAAGATCTTCACGGATTGAGGGCGGGCCGTTCGTCTTGAAAAATCCCAGATCTTCACGGATTGAGGGCGGCTCCTTTTCAAAATGTGACTCCTGCCGTAGCACCGAGCACATTCGTTTTAAACATTTGCAAAAGTCTGACGGGATCACATGGCAAACAGACCAGACATGATGTTGTAACGATTCAGGATTGCCAGGGCGCAACACTTACGTTGAATCACGATGTTGAAATCCCAGGAATGGCATTCTGGCTCGATGCAGGGTCGTCAAAATGCGACAGTCAAGTTAATTCGTGGCGTTGAGATCCGAGAACGGTGTTCCGGCACGCTTCAGAATATTCAAACGGTTGTCTTCCAATGGGGCACTTCGCTCAGTGGAAATGAATCCTAGAAGGGGCCTATGAAGAGGGAGCTCGGAGAGAGGGTTGATTCCTACATCGTTGATGGGTCCTGGGTTTACACTGGTCCTCCTCCACCTCCTCCTCCTCCTCCTCCTCCCCCTCCCCCTCCTCCTCTTCCTCCTCCTCCGCCTCCTCCTCCTCTCCCACCTCCTCATCAGCAGCAGAATCATCAGCATCATCGTCAGCAGCAGCATCATCATCAGCATCATCAGAAGCATCATCAGCAGCATCATCATCACTAGCAGCAGCAGCAGCAGCAGCATCAGCAGCATCATCATCATCAGCATCAGCATCAGCATAATCAGTATCACCATCAGTATCAAATCATCACCATCATGATCCTCAGCATCAACAGCAGCATCATCATCAGCATCGGAGTCGTAACATCATCATCATCAGCAGCAGCATCATCAGCAGCATCATCATAATCGTCAGCATAATCCTAAGCAGCATCATCATCAGCAGCGGCATCAGACCTCGTCCAAATCCTCCCTCATGTCCTCATTCGTTTCCTCCTCCTCCTCCTTCTCCTCCTCCTCCTCCTCCTCTTCCTCCTCCTCCTCATCATCCTTCGCCTCCTCCTCCTTTTCCCTATATGTTCGCCCCTCGCCTTCCTCATCGTCCTCCTCATCCTCCTCCTCCTGGTCATTCTTCCTCATCCTAACTATCATCATGCTGAGTCGTCTTCTTCTGCGTATCCTCCTCACCTGCCTCATCCTCTTCGTCATCATAATTCTAATCATCCCATTAAGTACTGCATCCTCCATGCCTTCCCTATCTCCCTCGCTCCCCCTCCCTTCCTTCCTCATCCTGCTCGCCGTTCCACTCTCATCGTCCTCCTTCCCCTCCTGCCGCTCGTTCATTATTTCGTTGTCCTCCTCCTCCTCCTCCTCCTCCTCCTCCTGCGCCTGCTCCTTCTCTTACTCCTCCTCCATGGTTGCAATTTCTATCCTCCTGCTACTCACGTGCCTTACCCAGATTCCTCGTTATCGTCCTCGCCCTGCGCGTTGTTATACTCCTCCTCACCCAAATCGTTCCCACAAGTGTGAACACCACACACACACAAAACAAAATTACTCCGACGGTCGGACCCCGCATGGGAATATCCTTGGCGTGCATTTGCGTGACAATCGACGCCTAACGGTGGCGATGATGCTAGGCTGCCAGAATGCTGAGACGCCTGAATGCCAGGAAGCCAGGATGCCACAACACCAAGATGCCACGATGCCATTATGCCAGGGATGCCAAGAGACCAGGGTGCCAGGACGCCAGGCGGCCAGTAGTTCTGGATGACAGCATGAAACTATCCCAGGATGCCAGGACTGCCAAGATGCCAGGGTGCCAGCATGCCAGGCGGCCAGAAGGCCAGGATGCCAGCAGCGCAAGATCCCAGGATGCTTGTGCAACCTGCGGGGCTTCTGCGATGTGCGGGATCTATGGACCTGCGCGACCTGTGGGAGCTGTGGGGCCAATGCCACCTGTGGGGCATATGGGACTCGTGAGCCCGGTGGGAGCTGTACGACCTGTGTTATCTGTGGGACGTGTGAGACCTGTGAGGCCTGTGGGACTGTGCATCATGTGGGGTGTGTGCGACTTGTGGCGCGTGTGCGACTTGCGGCGCCTGTGGAACCTGTGAGACTGTCAGAACGGCGGGGCCTGTGCCTGGATGCTAGGGGTGCCAGGGATGTTAGGGTGCCACGGACACCAGAGATACCAGTGATGCCAAGATGCCAGGGATGCCAGGATGCGAACGCAAAACCACTATCAAGATCTAAAATTCTAGAGGCACGAACAGCTGAAGTGGCTTGCAATTGGTTCCCGACATTCAAAACCACAAAAATGGAGTTCTGGTATCACGAAGTGCCTGAAGCTAGCTCCGGGGGACTCGAGATCAGTGCCAGGAATGGAGTTTGGGCGATTTGATGATCCCCAAACCTATTTTTGTTGAAGGGCACGCCGATGTCCGCCTCGGATGAATAACGTAAAATGGGAGGGGCACACTAAAGGGGCTCCCGCAAGAGACTTCCTCCCAAATCAAGTCGGTCAGGACTGGAAATGAAGTGATGTGGTGATGAAATGATGGCGACGGCGAGGATAGCGATGATGCAGAGATGACGATGATGATGATGATGATGATGATCATGATCATGATCATGATGATGATGATGATCATGATCATGATGATGATGATGATGATGATGGTTATGATGGTGATGCTTATGATGGTGATGATGATGGTGATGATGATGGTGATGATGGTGATTGTGGTGGTGATAATGATGATGGTGATGGTGATGGTGATGGTGATGATGATGGTGATGATGGTAACGGTGATGATGGTGATGATGATGACGACATTAATTATGATGATGTTGTTGATAATGGTGATGACGACGATGATGCTGGTGATGGCGATGGTGATGATTATGATGGTAAAGGTGATGATGTAGATTATGATGATGATGATGATGAGGAGGAGGAGGAGGAGGAGGATGATAGTGGTGGTGATGATGACGGTGGTGATGATGGCGATGGCCCACGCGTCGAAGGAGGTCTGGAGCTCCCCGCTCGATACAGCCTCCGAACGCCAAGGCATGTCCCTGTGGCGCCGCGGTCGCAAGGCCTCAACCCGCGCCCTTCACACTTGCAGACGATCAAACTGAGAGCACGAGAAGGGCACCTGGCGATACTGCCGAGGCTAGTGCCAGTCTTGCCATCCCAGCTACCAAGGCCGCTCAGCGAAGCACAGACAAACCTGCTCCACCGAGGCACCGCCCAAACCGTCACCTGCCCACGAGGCGCGGAAATGCACCCGAACGTCGTAGAGACCATGCTCCTGGTTCCCCTCCGCTACAGAACTGGGCACGCGAGCTCTGCGGCAGAGGCTGGCCCCGATGGCCCACGAAATCTGCCAAGGAGGAACCACTCTGGGCACCCCGCCGCAGCCCCACACCGACGCGGAGAAAGATCCCGAGCGTCAGAAAAAGCCATCCTTCTCCGCATTGCAGGAGCAAGCAAACGGAGACGCCACAATGAATAACGGCCAAGCTGGTCCTGGAACCGTCGCGGCACTGCACACGCGGCCGCGCAACAGCGACCAGCGGGCGAAGCACCCGAATATGGAACGGCGATAGCTAGCCCCTCCAGAACGCAAGCGCAGCCGCCACCCGAGCCCAGCAACAATTGAGAGAGCCCAGTACGTTACCTGCGCAGGTGGCGCGGAGACGACCCCGAGCGCCGCGAGGACTACGCCCCTGATTCACCTCCGCCCTGAGAGGGCGAACGCTGCCCACAGAAAGAAAAAGAACCCTGATGGCCGCGGCGCGGGCCGCGCCAGGGTGGAGCCTTCAGGAACTGTCGCCGCGGCCCCACCCTGGCGCGGAGAGCGATCCCAAGCGCCAAGAGCGCGCTGCCCCACACCCCCGGCCCCGCTTCCGACCTTCGAGCGGATGGCCACGCTGCGGGCGGCTAGCTGCATTGCAAAGCAGCGGGCGAGACACGCCTCCTCATCGGTGGTTGCGAGCCCGTGCGTCTGGTGCGTCTCGATCGATCGCCCATCATGGGGGCAACTCGGGTGGAGGTGGCTGCGGTCTTCCCTCTTTTGTCGCGCCCCTCAGCACCCGCACCGCTGCAGGCGCTGCTCCGCGACTGGCTGGCGCTGGTGCTGCCGCTGCTGGTGCCCCCGGTCATGCCGCTGCTTGTGCTGGCACTGCTGGGGCACTGGCGCTTACGCTGCTTCCAGCGACAGCCGCAGCCCGCAAGCCGCCCACGTTCTCGATCCGCTCGCCTGCCGTCTGGCTTAAAAATAAAAGAGCAGCCCCTGCCGAGAGCAGAGCTGCAGCCGCGGAGACCTGTCCACTGTTCCTTTTCCACACCTCATGAGAGCGAGCCCGCTGGCGCAGCACCGCGGCCAGCGCGCTGCAAGCACGCCCACGATGCGATCTTCACGGGCAATGCGCCCCGTCAGCCCTTCGTCGGTCGGGCCCATCTCGGGGCCCATCCCCGCCGTCATGTCTGCGCAGTGGTTGCCCTGAGGCTACCAGTCCGCGATGCGCTCCGCCTACGCGTCGGCCAGTGTCGCGTGGGCCTTGACCCCGATGAACGGCACGCTCTCCATGCCGACGTCCTCAATGGCCGCCCGCGCCTTCACCGGCTGCTCGCGATAATGACACTGCCGGGGCAAGCATCAAACCTTTCCAAACTCCACACGGTCCACCAGAAGCTTGCAATCGGTGAATACGCGGATAGGCGGGGCGCTCGGATTGCCTCCGACGCCGCGCACA